CTTCTTGGGGATTGTCTTCCATTCAGTCATACACTTTCTCCCCAGCATTATCAACCTCTCCCTTTTTTGGCAGATTTCTCCATCAGCAAAATAAAATTTGCTCTGGCACCTCCCATCTTGATAAACAAGGACGCTACGCCAGACTCCCAGCCACTGGGAGCTATCATCCTCCCAGTTCCTTGTTCTCTACATTCAAATTCCTGTCTACCAGCCGCCTCCTTTCCTCCCCCCAGGGTGACGCCCCTCTTGCTACTCTGCAGAAACATCACGTGGGCAGGTGTCTGACGGAGGCAGTGGCATTTCTGTCCTTCCTTGCTCCTCTCTGCAGTTCCACCCCTCCCTCCCTCCCTCCCTCTTCTGCTTCAGCCCTGCTCAGAACGCAGCTCCCAAGGGCTGGGGCCTGGCTTCCCATTCTGACACTTGACTCAGATGTCATCTGCAGCCCAGATGACTTCTGCCTGATGAACACATCAAAACGAACATTTGTAGACAGTTCTCTTTGGTTCCTACCAGTCTGGGCCACCCCTGGGCCCTGCTCTGGGGGTGGGGGTGGGCTCTGCTGTCCACACTGCAACCTATGTTATCTTCCGCTCCTCTTTGTGACTCTGTCTCTATCTGGCTGGCAGGCAGGGTTTTCTTGCTGATAAACCATGTCCTGCAAGCTGCAGGTCCCCTGAGACCAGCACTGCCTCACCCAACAACGGGGCTCCGCCAGGACCCCTGCAGCTGCCACAGAGTCCCCACTGCCTCAGTGGCTCCTCCTTGAGGCACGCTGTGCTCCGGGCTAGGAGGTCAACCCCGGCGGCCAATGTGCGCTCAGCATCAGCCTCGCCTCTGTGCCTCTGGGCCGAAAGCTCCTTGAGAAAAGCCCCAGCAGTGAGGTTCAGGCAGCCTCCAGGTGGGTGGGAGCCAGGAGGTGCTGGAGGGTGGTCCCCAGAGCCAGGCAGCTCATCCCAGCTCAGTGTCCCCCTGGGCAGCGCTTCCCTGGGGAGCACTCCAGTCCTTAGAATAACCTGGGCACAGTAAAAACGGTGCTCTCCTGCGTCTGACCGGTTCTAATGAATTGTGCGGCTTTTTCCCCGAAGTAATTTAAACCATAGTAATACATGAGCACAGTGTTAAGGCTGAAGATCAAACACCCCCTGTCCTACCTCTACTTCCCTGTGAGGTTCCCCCTCACCACCAGGCGAGTACACCCCTTTGGGGTATTTTTTTCCCCCCTGGCTTAAGCCATTAAAAGAACACATGTCAAACACCTGTGTGCTGTGCTCTGCGCTGACTGTGGGCAAGCAAAACATGCGAAAATGTCTACTGCACTAACAGTTTTACTTTTCTGGGGTTTGCTCCCATTTTGCTAAAAAAATGCACCTGAAACGACTTGGTGACGAAGGGTTTACTGCTCCTGCCTTCCCTTTCCTGCCTCAGGTGAAGCAGCAGCATCACCTGACTGCCAGATGCTCCTGCCCGACCCCCCCACCCCCCCCCTGCTTCGGCCCCTCCCGGGGCTACCCCCCAGCTTCCAGGAAAGAGCGTGTGAGAGAAAACTTATTTCTCCCCCCGTCTTGCACATCTGAAGGCATGCTGGCTTTACTCCTACATTTACCCCTCATCTGGCTAAGGGGAGGATTTTAGGCTGGGGGGCACTTTCCGTGCTGAGCAGTGAAGGATGTGCTCACCCTCGCTGTCCATGGAGCAGTTTGATGTAATTCCCACATCTAATCCTCTACATGGGAACGTCACCCCTCTTTCCTCTTGGAGTCTTTTGTATCTTTTTTTTTTTTAAATTTATTTATGCACATCAGAACTGGGGTACAGGCCAGAGGTGTGGGGAGTGAGAGGATCCACCAGAGACTGAGTGGGGAGCAGAAGAGATATTGACACACACTGCTGAGGGGAGCAGCGGGCGAGACAGGAGAGGTCTGCGGCACCATGTGGGTCAGCTCCCTGGCTGGGGATTGAACTTGTGCCGCGGTGGCTGCAGATAGTTTCATAGTGCTGCGCTTTAACCCCTTGTGTCAACAGGGAGGCCCAATCTTTTGTATCTTCATCCCTGAGGTGCTGAAATCTCACACAACATGCCCAGGCCTGGGCATCTGGCTAAGGTGGGCCAAGTCTCTTCACTTGCTGCTCTCACTGCTTCCTCTGTGGGCCTCTCTTCTGGAACTCCTGAGTCAAGCGCTGAGGGGCCCCAGTGTTAACCTGCAAAACCCCTTACGTTGTCTCCCCCTTTGCCTCTCAAGATTCTCAGTTAACTTCCTAGATGTTATCTTGGCTGTTCTTTTTCAAATATGTTTTTGTTCTTATTATTGAAAATATAATCTCTGCTCTTATTTCTGAAAATATATTTTAGCGTTTTACCCCATTCCCCCATGTTCTGATTTTATTTCTGACTTTTCTTTATTTTAGGGGCTCCTTTTATTTTGGATGCTTTCTTTAAATGTCTGGCCAGCCTCAGCTGAGACAAGGGATGAAAAGGTCCACAGAAGCTTATGATATGTGGGCTGGAGGCTTCACTGTAAGATGCTGGATAGAAATTGGGCTGTTTTACAGTGAAACTCCAAATATGAGCATCTTTATTTCTTTTGGTGCTGTCTAGTTTTCTACAAAGAACAATCCTTTCTCTTGCTTGAGGCATTCTGGCTGCCAGCAAGTAGGGAGTAGGTGGGAGTGTTGTGGGGGTGACTGGTGGGGGGGTCAGTGGCTGTCGAATCTCCCTCTTTTCTCCTGAAGCGCCCTACTCTGCTGTGCCTGCCACCTTGGGTTCTATTTCAACTCAGAGTCTGAATCTCTCACTGTGCGCGTCTAGAGTTCCTTCAGCAGGGCGTCTAGAGTTACTTCAGCAGGGTTCTGGAGGTGAGATGATGTGCATGCTGGAATGAAATCTACCTCGTTTAATCTGTGCTTCTAGAGAAATTATTGTGAACAATTACTGGGCATTTAAAAGATGGATGTTTACCTAACCTTAAGTGAAAACACTTGCAGTGTGAGTGAGTTTATTTAACTGATTTTTGAAACTTAGTATCTGTTTAGTGTTGACTTTGTGTGCCTAGTTAAAAAAACACAACTAAAATATTAATCTATATTCTTATTTTAGTTTGCAGAGTTGTTAACATGTGCTCCTACCTGTAGTGAGCAGGGGGCATCATGCTAAACATCAACTATGACTGTAGTGTAATAAAAGTGTGGGGGAGACCATATCTTGTGGGTGATGTGTCAATCTTTAGAACATGCTCTCGTTAGGGGAAAACCAAACAAAACCCCTAAAGACACCTGACAAATTCTCCCTTAGAGAACAACTGCTTGTGCTACTTCTTTACCTTGATTTTAATCTAGAAGTATACTTGGAATATATAGTACCATGTCCTCTGAATGTACTCACTACCCACAAGGTAAGTTCACCTCTAAACTCAATTAAAATCGCTCAAAAGACATTCTAATGTTTTCTTTAGTAAGTTAATGTTACACGGAGTAACAAAACAACTTTGGTTCATCTTAAACTTCCAAGTATATGTATTAAGAGAATATAATTGATATTTCAAATTTGATTTTCAAATATTTTTACTGAGTTAGAGAAAAAGCTACCTGAATCGTTCTTGGCCTGCTGTATCCCATATCTGTAACTTGACATATTTACCACCAACGTTTATTATCTTTGAGCCAAATTCCACTCCTATTGTATGATTTGAGTCATCTTTGACTGAAAAAGAAAAAGAACAAGAGATTTAATTTTAGAACATTAAAGACAAAAGCTTACAGATCTAAATAAATGACACAAAAATTAAGGATTAAATCAATGGAAAATATAATTGCCATTAGCTGTTCATTTCTGTGATAGTCAGCTGATAAGAAGCAGAATTCACTGCAACAGAATTCACACAGTCCCAATTCTCAAGAGACAATAAAGTTTTTTCTCAAAAGCCCTAAAACAAACCATATACTTTAAAGCCCAGGCTTTGCGATGCCACAGCAAACAAGCAACATGCCTACCCTCCACCTCAAGGTGATCACAAATGGTGATTATATAAAATTCTGGGCACACCTTTAAGGGCTTACTGCCCAGACCTGCAGGTCAATCAATGAGGAGGAACTGACAGTTTCAGCCATTTGAATAGATCAGTCATCTAAAGGGTCAAAAGTGAAAAGAAGGAAAAGCATTGTGGCCCACACATAAACTTGATGGACACCAAAGACTAAGGAGAAAAGGGGAAGAGATGGAGTTACGGTGGGGGCCATGGATTTTACATTGCGCAGCCATTATTTGGATGAATTTGTTAGAGAAATCAATATTATCTGTTTGAATAGGCAGGAAAGCAAGAGAGTAATTTCTGGAATAAACTGTTAGTGAAAATATCTGTGATGATGAAAGGATAAGCTAGAATCAAATGTCTTGACTACATGGCCCACTGGACAGTTTCTGTCTTGGAAGTGTAGGACAAAATGCAGTTGTAGGAGAAATCAGAGCAGCCACCCACCAGTTGTGTTGTTTCCAGTGTGTGTGTATGTGTGTGTGTGTGTCTGTATGAGAGAGAGAGAGAGAGAGAGAGAGAGAGAGAGAGAGAGAGTGCTTAAAACTAACTATACCAACCTGCCACATGCCCAGTGGTAGAGAACTAATATGGACATTCTATTAGAACTAACAGTCAGGCAAACTTTGGAGGAAAAGTCTTCAAGGAGTGACAGCCAAGGCTCGGGCATCCTGACCTGACATGGCCACGAGACAGAGAGAGCCAAACCTTTCACTCACTGCTGTAGGCCACGGAGACTAACCAAGCACATGAGCAGGTCTCTGTCCTGAGGAGGAGGGGAGGATGAGCAAGGAGTTGGCCACAGAAAAGGGAGAGACTAAGCCACTTGGGCACCTGGCCTGAATGTCCTCTGCAGTCTTTCCTGAGATGGCACCATGCAAAGTTGTGGCAGCTTGTAAGGAAACCTGGTTCTCAGTGAGTAAATCCTCGTTATACTTATCAGAGCTGGTTCTGTGACCAGCTCATGCTGGGTTGACATCAATAAACGAAGCGTTAGTGACTAAAAGTTATTCTTTTGGTTGATGGAGACAGAAGTAGCAGAATGCATTTCTAGAAATTTATTTTTCAAAGCTCTTCGCCAAGACACCTGTGCTGTCCCCCACCATTTTACCCACCGCTCAAGCATCTTGTGCACTTGAGAAGCACTTCATGAAATGAAGCAAATGCGGTCTGAGCCTTGACCCGCCTGCCATGAAAAGGGTCGCTCTCCATCGTTCTTTACCCTACTATGAAAGTGCTGCTTACCCTAAGGACTTTATAGGCCGACAGTCTATTGCTATATTTCGAAACCAAAAATATCAACCTCCCTCACCAAAACAGTGCAAGTCAATGGCAAAAAATGGGTTCTGTGGTTAAAAGGCGTGGGTGTACATCTAACAAACTATTAAGTGTGCACCCCCAGCGCACATGCCAACTTCTCTAGACCTCTGTTTCTGTACCTGCAAAATAGAGCTGGTGGTAACCCCTGCCCTTCACTACAAAACAAGGCCTAAGGGCCAAACACCATCTTATCCTGAAGGTGGTAGGAAGGCTTCCAGGGTGGTGCCCTCTCCGGAGCTGGGATCCTTGACTGTCTTCCACATCACCATATTCTATCTTAGTATCTGGAAGATGTACAGTATGATTAACTAGATGTGGGACATTAAGCGACCATAAAATTAAATGCTAACTTAGTAAAATTCAACCTTATTACTAAGTGTTCAGGAGCACACTTGTAATGTTATTTCAAATATTTATCATTGATGAGCTTTCTTCTGACTCAAGATCTGGAAGACACATATCTGAGCCAGAGAGCACTGGCAGAAGAAGACATGCATGGAACACCGACCACTTGATGTCACTTACATTTCTTTTCAATAAACTGATGAAGTAAGCAAGACTTGCCAGTTCCTGCATTTCCAATAACCAAGAACTTGAATAAAAAATCTGAAAAACAAGAAGAGACTTTAAAAACAAGAAATTACTTTCAACAGGTGCTACTTATCTATTCTTAGACTACGAGCATAAAATATAATGAAATCTTTGTTCCTCAAGGTAACAATAAAAAAAGAGGGAGCTGCGTATATTGTGAAGATGGCCATTAGCCTATAAACTTACCAACCACCTTTTTGATATTTGATTTACATGCTGATTTTGTGACAGGTTTCAAACTGTGCTCATGGTACCATTTCCTTGGCAATGGAAAATTGAAAAACAACCCTGGTAATGAATAAAATCTGTCCCTCTGCTAGCCACTAGACAAATAAATAAGCCATGGCACGGTATGAAAAATCATGTCTTCTGTACAAAAGAAGAAACACGGCAGACTAAAAGCCCACTTCCTTTTTCTTTTTAAAAAACGGGTGTCAGTTCTCCCACGCTTGCAGATCATTGTGGTCTTGCTCCTGTTCCCGATCTGCCGCAGGAGAACAGCTTAGCCTCTTCAGCCCTTCAAGTGGGAAATGTGTCTCCTTCAATAAGGACAGAGCTGTAGTTTCTTCTCTACATAGTGTGACATATTTAATTTGGGATTTTATCTTCCATAAAATGCAAATAAAGGCTCTCCGGAATGGGATTTGCTTATTAGCATGATGTAGCATTGTTGCCTTGCAGGATGGTGGGGTGGGGAGCAGCACGGGATGAGCGCTAATACCCAAAGTGAGGAGAAGCCTAGATGGGCTTCCCAGGGTTGCAGTGTGTGGTCTCCACCTGAAGGCGCCTCATATTTAGTGGTATCAGGTACCAAGATGGGGCAGGTACATAGGGAGGCACATGTGTGGGGGGGTGGCCCTGGGGGATGAGCCAGGACGGGTGACGGGGTCTCCTCCTGGGGGCTCTGTGGTTCCTGCTAGTTGAGGCCTCGTATCTCTATTCTGATGTCTGCCGGCTGCTGCCAGCAGGTCCTCGCTCCCCACTGTGTTCCTCCTACCAGGCCTTTTGCCCTTGGTGAGAGGCCCCTGCAGACCCTATACGGAGTTGACAAGTATATTAAGACAATTAATTAACAAAGAGGAATTTAACTCCTAGGAATAAGAAAGAAAAAGATAAATTTCTAGAACGCATCTAGAAATTAAACAAAATTCAGTCATTGAAATTAAATAGCCAACGGCTGGTTAAAGAACAGAATGAACCAAAGAGCAGAATGAATACAACCGAAGAAGTGCTAGGTGGAAAATTTACAGTGCACAATGCAAATATTAGAAAAGCATCTTAGTACCTACCATCCAGAATCTAGAAAAGAGAGCAAAATAAAGCAAACGCGAGGGAGGAAATAACAACGAATGGTCATCAATGAAACCAAAACCAGAAAAATCTATGAAATGAGGAGCTGGGTGGTTGAAAGGCCGATAAAATGGACAAGCCTCTGGCAAAACTGCAGTGAACATAAGGAGCTCAGGCAGGTGCAGGAAAGACATGCCTGCGAGGTGGTCCGGACCCACAACGCGCTTTATTTGGGCAGTGTATGTCCTTGCGCAGGCTGCAATGGAGGGTGTCCGTGATGACAGAGCTTCTAGGTCAGGCACCCAAGGAGACTGGCTTAAGGGGACCTGTGAGGGAAAAGGCAGCCTGAAGGAGGATGGGCCTGTCCCGGTGATGCGCTCAGCAGCCCGTGGACAGCAGCATTCTGAGACCGCTGGTCACCCCAGTGTTAGTCTCAGCAAAGGTCAGCAGTGGTGAGTGCAGTCCCCCAGGGCAGGCAAAGCAGGCCGTCTCTAAATAGCTAGACTGCGCTTTCAACGGGCCACATTTGAAGCAACTGAGAATGTAAAAATTTGAGCTTGGCACTGACAGGCTTTGAACTAAAATCCCAGCTTGCTGTGAAGAAGAAAACAACATGGAACCACATCCAGAGGTTGTCTTTAACCCATTTATATAACCAAGACTGACAGGAAAAAAGAGAAGACACAAATAGCCAGTATCAGGCACAAAATGAGACATATCAGTACAGACACTGCAGTCATTGAAAGGCCAACAAAGAAAGAAAACAACTTCATACACATAAGTGTGACAATTTAGATGAAATCGACTAATTCTTTGAAAACACAAACTACCAGGACTCACCCAACACAAAACCGATCACTAATGTAGCCTTACAACTATTAAGGGAATAGAAAATGAGCATAAGACATATAGAGACGTGGAAAAGGAGAAATAAATGCAAGTAAGAACATGAAAATATGTTCAACATCATTAACTAATACTCAGGGAAATTCAAATCAAAACCCTAATGAAGTATTGCAACCCATCTATCAGAATGGCTAAAATAAATGAATAACACCACCGAACACTGGTGAGGATACACGCAAACTGAATCATTTACATATTACTGTTAACATAAAATGGAAGTGATACTCTAGAAAACAAACTTGGCAGTTTCTTAAAAAACTAAACATGCAATTACCATACAACTCAGAAATTGCACTCCTAGGCATTTACCCTGCAAGAATGAAGAATTATGTTCATGCAAAATCCCGAATGTGAATGTTTATATAGCATTAGTTGTAACCGTCAAAAACTGGAAAACAACCCAGATGTTCTTCAACAGGGGAATGGTTAAATTGACACATTCATAGCAAGGAGTACTATTCGGCAGTAAAGAAGGAATGAACTCTTGATACTACAATAATCTGAATGACCAGAGAAGTACACTGGTAAAAAGTCAA